GAGAATTAAGCTCTTCTTGATCAAAAGTTCTGATTAATTTTCTATGCTCTCATTCAAAGAATTTTTAAATTCATTCATTCATTCAGCAAATAATTAACCAGGCATCCACTAGAATGCCAGGCACTGGGAGTCCAGATGGGAGTCAAAGCAGACATGGTCAGTACCCTACAGGAGCTTCCGTCCAGCTGTCAATTACATAATCACACTGACAAATGTGAGCACGATGAAGGCTCAGACTCAGAGATGTGCCTTGCCTGGGATAGGTCAGGAGAGGCTACCCAGAGGAGGGACAGTCAGTCTGAAATCTGAAAGGTGGGTAGAAGTTAAGGATGTGGGAAGGGGAGGGAATAGCTTTTCAGACGGAGGGATTTGCCTTCATAAAGCCACACAGTAGGACATAGCATGGTGAGCACAAAACTAAAAGATCAGGGCGACAGCGTGAGAGTCGAACCCTGAAACTCTCACTTAGCTTTCAAGTAGACTATTTCTCCGTAATATTGATACCAGTAGCACTCTGAGGAGCTAGGGGAGAGGTCAGTGGTTAGATCACACAGGCCTTGAAGGCCACATTAACCCCAGGACAATGGGAAGCTCTTTAAGGGTTTCGCAGGGGGTGTGACATACATGATCAGATTTGCATTCCCAAAAATCACTCTGGCCTGGCTCATGACTGTAATACAGCTATTTGGGAGGCTAAGAGGCTAAAGCAGGAGGACCACTCGAGCCCAGGAGTTCGAGACCAGCCTGGGCAATATAGCAAGAACCTGTCTCCATTTTTTTTAATTTTTTTAAAAAAAATGTTTTTTGTTTTTTAAGACGGGGTTTTACCATGTTGGTCAGGCTGGTCTTGAACTCCCGACCTCAGGTGATCCGCCTGCCTTGGCCTCCAAAGTGCTTGGATTACAGGCGTGAGCCACCACGCCCAGCCAAATGTTTTGTTTTAAAAAGATTGCTGTGGCTACAGAGTGGCAATTGTGTGGGAAGGGGCAGAGCAGGCGTGAGTGGACTGGGCAGCTGCTTTCCAGTAGTCCAGGGGAGAGCCACAGGAGCCTGGGCTGGGTTGTGGCAGGGGAGATGGATTTGAGATGTACTTTGAAAGTTGAGCTGCCGGAACTTGCTGATATCTGTGGTGGAGTGAAGCAGAGGGGTTTCAAGGACATCGCCTGGGTTTCTGGCTTGGCAGTAGGAGGGGGGTTAGTGCCAGTTACTGTGAGAAGGAACACCAAGAGAAGACAAAGTTTGGGTGGAGTGGGGGGGCAGGATCACAGTGCAATCTCAGATGCACTGGGGAAATTTTGACACAGGTACTATCTGGGCCACAGGTGGCTCTGTTCAAATACGTTTATAGCTCTTTGTCTGCACTTAAGCACTCTGTCATACTTAGCTGTGAGGGGGCCAAGAAATGTAAAGTGTTTGGCTGGTCTTCTCCAACCAAAGTTAAAATTCCTTTGCTAAGGAAGAAGGGGAGGACATTGCTGGCAGTCAGCCACGGCATCCCAATCTGGTGGTCGGTTTGCCGCACCCACCAGCTCATCACAGACAGCTGTGGTGAATCGCTGAGTTCTGAGTAATCAATCTCCTGTCGGGACCACCTTTCTTCACTCAACCATGAAATCCTCACATTCCCAAGTATATTTTTTCTTTCTTTCTTTTATTGAGACAGAGTCTTACTGTATTTCCCAGGCTGGAGTGCAGTGGCGTGATATTGGCTCACTGCAACCTCCACCTCCTGGGTTCAAGCAATTCTTCCTGCCTCAGCCTCCCAAGTAACTGGGATTACAGGCACATACCACCATGCCTAGCTAATTTTTAATATTTTTAGTAGAGACAGAGTTTCACCATGTTGGCCAGGCTGGTCACGAACTCCTGACCTTAGGTGATCTGTCCACTTCGGCCTTCCAAAGTACTGGAATTATAGGCGTGAGCCACCACACCCAGCCTGTTTTTCGGTTCTTTTTATTTATTTATTTATTTATTTATTTATTTATTTTATTTTATTTTATTTTTAGACAGGGTCTTGCTCTGTCTCCCAGTCTGGAGTGCAGTGGCATGATCATAGCTCACTGCAGCCTCACCTGGGCTCAAGCATTCCTCCCACCTCAGCCTCCTGCGTAGCTGGGACCACAGGCATGCACCACCAAGCCTGGCTTTTTTTTTTTTTAATTATTGGTGGAGACTGGGTTTTGCCATCCTGCCCAGGCTGGTCTCAAACTCCTGGGCTCAAGTGATCTGCCCGCATTGGCCTCCCAAAGTGCTGGGATTATAGGTTATTTTACCTTTTAACCGTGCCAAAGAACCAAGCACCTACTTTATTTGCTCTCCTGTATTTAAAATTGTCTCATATGCCAGACCCAGAAAGATAAAACACAAGCAAACTAACAAAATACTCCACTTGTATCATTTGTTGCTTTTTTTTTTAAGTGAACATGATTGCTACATTTATTGCTTTCTAATCGTTTACATGTAGTCCATCTTTGAAGGGCAAAGAGTATTGAAGAAGTTTAACTTCTTCAACTTGAACTTAGTGTGATTTTTTTCAAAGTTTCACCAATGCATGACCAAAATTTGACTTCAGTGTAGAATTGGAATTAAAATATATACAATCCCACTTCTTACCACAGGAGCCAATTGTTTATCAAGTTCCCCTCTGAGCTCAGTATCTTGTAGCTAAATGACCACTGTCTTCCAGTCGTGCTTTTTTAAAAATCATGCTGGTTTGCAACAAAAATTGTATTTTCTTTACTAGGCAAGTGAACCATTTTGTTGGGAAGAGTACCTTGGCTTCAAGAAAAAAATGATTTCATTCTGAAAGACTTCCCCTCCAACTTCCTGCCCCTCAAACTCTCAGTCCAATAACTTGTCCGTATTCTGCAAAAGTGCGTTACAAAACAAAAACCCTAATCAGATAAAATAGCTGTCTGGAACTTTTGGGGCAGATCAGTGAAGCTCTGATTTCAGGTACTAGCAAAATAAAGAAGGCATTTTCATTTTGTATTGTTTTACTTCTGAATTTTTTCATGGCGTCTCCTAAACCTTGATGTTTTGAAGAAGTTCAAAAGTTTGCTACATCAGCAGGACCTGACCATGGGGAAGAGATAAATATAGCTCTCCTTGGAAAGGTGAAGGCTTAGCCACCAGAATTCTGCCCCTTGATGCTGAGAATGCACCTTCTCTGAACAGATGGAAGAGGGGTGGGGACTACCCCAGGGACATATCTTGCAAAATGCTGATAGCCAAAGATGTACATAGCCTTCTGCTTTTGGTCATCCTCCCAAAGCACATCCTTGGTGAAGGCACACAGAGAGGAGAGCAGATGCTCCCAGACCACAGTGCCTGACGCCATGTACTCCGTCACGCCCAGCCTGTTTATGTGCACATGGCTACAGCGGGACCTTGGGGTGTGGGCTAAATAATCTAACAGGAACAGGGGCTCCTCTGGGGCCTGTTACAATGCAGAGATCCTCCACAGTAATTAGGGATTTCGGGGAAGAGGAAGGAACACACATGTTGATAATAAGTAGTTCCACATTATTATCCCCATTTTACAGATGCAGCTACTGAGCTCAGAAAGGTTTGATAACTTGCCCAGAGCCCCTCAACTAGTAAATAGTGGAGCCGAGATTTGAACTACCTGAAGAGGAAAGCAAGCGAGAAACCCCTTTATTCCTTTTTTAAAATTTATTTTTTTTAAAGACGGGGGTTTCACCATATTGGTCAGGCTGGTCTTGAACTCCCGACCTCAGGTGATCCGCCCGCCTTGGCCTCCAAAGTGCTTGGATTACAGGCGTGAGCCACCATGCCCTGCTCTTTTTTTTTTTTTTTTTTTTTTTAAGGTGAGGGTCAGGCCAGGCGTGGTGGCTCACGCCTGTAATCCTGGCACATTGGGAGGCCGAGGTGGGTGGATCACCTGAGGTCAGGAATTCAAGACCAGCCCGGCCATCATGGTGAAACCCCATCTTTTATTAGAAGAAAAAAAAAAAAAAGATGTGGGTCTTGTTATGTTGCCCAGGCTGATACTGAATTCCTGACCACAAGTGATCCGCCATTTTGGCCCTGCAAAGTGCTGGGCTTCACAGTCATGAGCCACCACACTGGGCCAAAGCCTTATTGTAACCTCCAAGATGTTTTCATTTCTAAAGTCAAAGGTCGTCAGGGTTGCTGATTTGGGGGAACTACGGGATGGGAAATCTCCGGGAAAGCCAGGCTGGCTCCATAAGTGGCATCACCGAAGTTGGCCACCACACTTCCCCAGACTCAGTCATTTCTCCGCCCCCTGTTTCCCCAGCTGCGCAGCAGGGGTTTGGACTCCAGACTGCTGAGTTCCACTCCAGGTTCCATGCCCCGTAGCTGTGACTTATCGACTGGCCCACCCTGTGGATATAGGGCTGATGCAGCCCTGCTCGTCTTCTGAGTGCTAGGTGGCCATGAGAGAGGGAGACCATGAGAGGGAGGGGAGGCTTCTGTCATCTGCCTAGTGCCACCCCCTCTCCAGCCCACCCCAGGCCCGCTGCCGTCTTGGGTTCCCACATGAACAGTCCTCCTTGCTGTGGGTGATGTTCGATTTCACCAGCCCAACCCCAAGGAGCCCACCCTGGGGAGGATGGAGGGAGTCACCAAGCCTCCACCCCCGTGTCTGCTCTGTCGGGGAGCTGGGCAGGCAGAGTGGCGCCCTCTTGACTGAGCCTCAAACCTTTGTTTTCCTCTTACTCCAAATAAAGCCGCAGCCCTGGTGAGGGAGCCCGGAGGCCTGAGGGCATCCTGCTGGGCGCCTGGCACTCCCTAGACCCTCCCTGCCTGGGCGGTGGGCATCTGCAGTTCTCCCACGCTGGTAGCTGCAGAGCATGTGGGCGGGGTCAGGCAGCTAGAGATTGGGTGCCTGGATTCTGATTGGTCAGACTCTAAGACCCTCCCACCCCCCACCCAACTCCTTCCCAGGGCTGGCTGACCCACCAGGAAGGGAAGGATGTTGTTTCTTGTTATTACATTTTTTTTTTTTTTTGTATTTTTAAAACCAGAACATTTATTGCGTGACTAATCGGTGAAATTCTTAAGATGAGCTGGATGCTGCAACAGCTGCCCTCTTGGGTTTAGGTGGTGTTCCTTCGCGGAATCCATGCCTGAATATGCGGTACACAATTTTTAGGTGCCTCATTCGACCAGTCCCGGTGGTATCTCGTCGTTTAGCCTTGGCACTCCGGTTATACTTTCTCTTGCTCTTGGCGGGGTAGCCACATTTGCCGAAGGTCAACTTCTTTTTTTTTTTAGTCGGAGTTTTGCTCTTGTTACCCAGGCTGGAGCGCAATGGCGCGATCTCGGCTCACCGCAACCTCCGCCTCCTGGGTTCAGGCAATTCTCCTGCCTCAGCCTCCTGAGTAGCTGGGATTACAGGCACGTGCCTCCATGCCCAGCTAATTTTTTGTATTTTTAGTAGAAACGGGGTTTCACCGTGTTGACCAGTATGGTCTCGATCTCTTGACCTCGTGATCCACCCGCCTCGGCCTCCCAAAGTGCTGGGATTACAGGCGTGAGCCACCGCGCCTGGCCCGAAGGTCAACTTCTGAAGGTGGTAGGTCTTAGAGCCACAGCGTCGGCACAATGTGTGCATCTTATTACAACACTTCCCAAACGATGACATTCCCTTCCTCATCCTCCTTCTGCGACCAGAAGAAGCATTATTACATTTTTTGAGAAAAGCTGTGCAGGCCTGGGAGACTTCTGTGGCTCCCATGCAGTTGTGGCTGGTCTGTGCTCTGGGAGTCCCTTCTGGCCTGAAGGCTCAAGGGTGCAAACAAGTGCTGAGAGGGAACCAGAAGTGGGGGCAGGGGTGCAGCATGCCTCATGACAGACCAGGAGTGAGTTCTGTGGCCACAGATTCTAATCCTCACAACTGCAGTGTGATTTAGGGCAAAGCCCTTGCCTACTCTGATTCTTGCCTTAAGTGAAAAGGAAAGTCAAGTTCAATGAACTGTGGCTCTTTAGTGGGTGGATTTGCATGTACCATGGATTACATGTACCAGGGTCTAGGGAGTGCCAGGTGCTCAGCAGGATGCCCTCAGGCCTGCGGGCTCCCTCACCAGGGCTTCGGCTTTATTTAAAGCAAGAGGAAAGCAAAGGTTTGAGGCTGAGTCAAGAGGGCGCCTGCCTGCGCAGCTCCCCGACAGAGCAGACGCAGGCATGGAGCCTTGGTCCATGTGTCCTCCCCAGGGTGGGTTCCTTGGGGTGGGGTTGGTGAAAGTGAGTATAGCCTGCAGCAAGGAGAAGGACAGTTCATTTGGGAATCCACGGCGGCAGCGGGGTTGAAAACCCATCCACACACAGTCGACACCTGCTGTCACACTAGGCTAGATTAGCCTTTCTTTGGTGCATTAAATACTTGCTATTAAATAAAGGGCTGTGACTAGGTGGCAAAGTAATACCCTCCAGTAGAGGCTGTTTGTAATCTGACATCAGAGGCTGTAAGGCACCATCCTTGAGTCAAGTACTAATATTCTTTTTATCTTAATTAGAATGTAACAGATCATGTTTTAAAATTTCTCCTTGAATCTGTCACTTTGCCCTCTCTTCCTGGGTGATACCCAGGGCAGTGCTGGTGGGGGCCATCATAATGCCCCTTGTCCTAGATTCCCTTCTTTTAGATGGGACTCAAGCGCTGATCATTTCAGCACTTATCTCTGGGGTCAACGTGGTTCAGTTTGCTATGTGAAGTCCAGGGGAGATAACCACGCTGTGCACGCATGAGATTGGCTGAGTCGGCAGGACTGTGCAATTGTCAAAAGGCCTGCACGCCCTGCCTCTCCCACAGGCCCCTAGAGCATTGCCAGGTGCAGAGCTCCACAGCTCTCCTCCCCAAGGAGTGATCAGAGGGTGAGAACGCGGAGCCCTGGTGGACAGGTAAAAGCACTGGGATCTTTCTGCCCAGAAGAGGGAAAGTTGCACATTTATATCCTAGAGGGAAGTGACAGAACTTCCTCTGTGCTGAAGTTCAGGTAAGGAGCGTGGTTTGTAAAGCTGACTGGGGAGGGTGATCCCTCTTTGTTGTTCATTATGCTTGCAGCCTCCTTGGCAACATCGTGCAAAATGTGTCTTACTAGCTTCTAGTGCTTATGCAGTTGGCACAAGCATTGGTGGAGCTCCTCACTGTGCTAAGGCAGTGACTGGGGCTGCGCACTGGGGGTCAAGGCAGTGACCAGGACGGGCACAGCCCTGCCTTCCTAAACTGTGTTTTATTGTGGTGGGATCTGGTGGCCCCGTGAATGTGTTCAGCTGCTCCTGCTGCTGGGGGTTCTGCTCTCTGCCTTCCGCTGCCTCCCACACACTCTCCATGTGTGTCCCAGCCCCTAATCCCTAGTCCTGCTTTCCATACCGCAGGGGCTCGTAGCTGATATTTCCCCGTCTTCTTAAAGGGCAGGATTTCCTGGCAGGGACATAAGGTCTTTCTGGAAATGAAAGAAGCTGATGCATGTGTTTTCTTTTCTGAATTCCTTAAAATAAGAGGAATTCATTTCCAGCTATTCCCTGCCTTGCTTTTATTGTGGGAGTGCTGGTCCCAGCTGCCCATCTGATCAGCTGACATATATAGGGTACTTGGGACCCACGCACTGTTGCTCCTTGGGATTGAAAGATGAAAGCCATAGGGCCGGGCGCGGTGGCTCATGCCTGTAATCCCAGCACTTTGGGAGGCCGAGGCGGGCAGATCACCTGAGGTCAGGAGTTTGAGACCAGCCTGGCCAACATGGTGAAATCCCATCTCTACTAAAAATACAAAAATTAGCAGGAGATGGTGGTACGCACCTGTAGTCACAGCTACTCAGGAGGCTGAGGCACAAGCATTTCTCGAACCTAGAGGCAGAAGTTTCAGTGAGCTGAGATCGCACCACTGTACTCTTTGAGACTCTGTCTCAAGAAAAAAAAAGGAATGAAAGGCACAGCCTGGCTTGGCTGGAGATGGAACATGCATCAACACATCCCCTGTGTCTCCAGCAGGGATGGCGAAGGCCTGCCCCCAGCACGTGGTGGACTGAGTAAATGTTGATCAGTGAGACCTTGAGGCACTTCGGAGTTTCACAACCCACAGAGGGAGATGTATTGGAAGTTCAAGGGTGGACACCTGGGCATGGTCCCAGGAGGAAGGCTGTAGTGAGTTCTAAGAAGTATGCTGGTGACTATGAGAGATGGGGGTGGAGGTTCCTCTCTTGAAAGCTGTCTTGATAATCACATGTGGGGTGATAAGGGCTCTGGTCCAGGGGAGGGGTCTAGGCACAAAGGGGGTTGAATCTGATGGCATCAGGACTTGGCGATGGGGTGTGGGGGCAGAATCAGAGATGACTTCAGTGCCTGAGGGTGGAAACTGGGAGATCACTGGGACCACTGACAGAAATGGGGAGCTGGGGGGTGCTAGGCCGATTTTCCTGATTAGATTTCCTACCGAACTGCAGGAATAAGGTGAGAGCCATCGCCCTGGGTGGATTTCTGTTGGGATCTCTATCTCTGGACCGCTGTGGACAAGTATTTCTTACAATGACCCCCAGTGGCCCAATTGTAGGTTTAGAGGGGCAGCTCTTGACAGGAGCAAACCCCAGGTCCTCTGCAAACCCCCAGCAGAGTCCCAGACATGTGATGTGTAGCCAGTGGAGGCCATGAAAGTGGTGGGATTCCCAGCAGGGACCGGCTCCTGCCTTGGGTTTCCAAGACAGAGTCAGGGGTGCTGCTTCGGGGGTGGTCTGCGGGGGCCTCATCTAAGACACGATGCATTCTCCTCCGCCTGGGTCCTACCTGCACTGCATCCGGCACAACCTCCTCTAACTCAGGCATGAGGACAGCCCACATATTCATGCAGGTTACTCTGAACAAGAACAGCCTGTGGGTTACTTCCCTGGGAATGAGGAAGATGAGGAACTAGATAACAATGCTGGCCTGGTATCTGCCCGATAGTGCTTTGCCAAGAGTAAGCTTTCTTCCCCTTCTGAGCAAAACAGAAACTGGAGTCAGACAAATGGGGATTAAAACACAACTGAGTTGATATGAAATGTAACAAGCAACTCTGGACACAGAAAGTAGATTAGAGGCTGCTTAGGACCTAGCGTGGAGCGGGGCAGTAAGGAGCCGTAGCTGAAGGCTGTGGAGTTTCTTTGTGCTGATGAAAATGTTCTACAGTTGACTGGTTGTGCATGGGTGTGAACATCCTAAAAACCAGTGGAGTGCACACTTTAAACAGGCGAATTGTATGGTATACGAATTATGTTTCAATAAAGCTCTTACACACGCAGCTAAGATGTGTGGCCATGGCTGGGCTTCCTACAGTGCCCCCCCACCCCAAATTGAACTTACTGTCCCAGCACTCGGACCCCCCCATTACTCTTTGTCTTCCCTGAGGACAAGCCCCTCTCCAAGAGGGACAGAGCAGGGGCCATGGGCCACCACTCAGGAAAGGCGCTCCTCTCCCCTGGGTGAAGGAGGCCACAGGGCATGGACAGAGCCTTTTCAGTCAGGCAAAAAACATGGGGCCTCAGAAACGCAGCTCCCAAAACCCCCTACCCAGGGCCATGCAGAAGCCAACGCAGGTTCTTATTTTCCCAGGATGATGAACAATTTCCAAAGCTTAGTAGGATTGTGGGTGATTTGTCTCATGGTCTGTTGTTTTCTCACTTTTCTATATCTCATATGTATATATACTTGGGTCAAATGTAAATAAAATCAGGGACGGGGTTGGAGTGCAGCAGGAAAGAGCCTGCTGATGGGAATCGGAGTCTCTGGGCTGTTGGGCCAGGCTGGGCGGGCTCTCTTGCTGATGGGAATCGGAGTCTCTGGGCTGTCGGGCCAGGCTGGGTGGGCTCTCTTGCTGATGGGAATCGGAGTCTCTGGGCTGTCGGGCCAGGCTGGGTGGGCTCTCTTGCTGATGGCCTCCCCTGGTCTTGCAGGAGCCATGTGGCTAGAAATCATCCTCACCTCAGTGCTGGCCTTTGCCATCTACTTGTTCATGTCCCGGGACAAAGAGGAAACTTTGCCACTTGAAGATGGGTGGTGGGGGCCGGGCACGAGGCCGGCAGCCAGGGAGGACGAGAGCATCCACCCTTTCAAGGTGGAGACGTCAGATGAGGAGATCCACGTAAGGCACCTTGGGCCAGGCCGGGCTGGGCAGTGGGGAGGGTTCGGAGACTGGGGTTGGGTCTCAGGCCAGAGGCAAGAGGGGACAGGGGCTTGGGAGTGGTCCATCCCACTTGGGAGTGTGTTTCATTCTGCTCTTCCCCTGCTGGCCAGGTGCAGGTTGCTTTGGAGAGGTGTGCCCGACCCTCCTACTTCTTCTCTTCTCCCTTAGCTACCCCAAGCCCAGCAGCTCAGTCAGGGAGGGGTGCCAGCAGACCCAGTTACCTGCATCGAAAGTCACAGGCAGCAACTGTCATCACCTCCTCTATGCCGCCTGAAGCTTTGGGAGTGGGGTTGTGGGAAAAGTGAGCAGGTTCCCTTTGGGGGTGGGGCAGGAGCGGGAAGCACTGAGAAGGCAGGGATGGCGCTGGTTAGGCACCGGCTATGTGTCAGCCTATCCTGGTCACATTCGGTCCCTCCAGTGATCCTGTGGGATGAGGACCGTTGTTCCCCTCCTGCAGCTGCGGAAACTGAAGCTCAGGGGTATAAAGCAGCTGGTTCAAG